GTGGGCTGCCATCTAAGAAAGGATCTTCTTCATCTAGTTCTAATATTTGTTTAAAAATTGGTGAAAAGGTTTGTTTTGATAATAAACTTTTTGCTGAGACTTTTAACAATTTCTATACAACTGTTGCTTGTAAACTTCTATTGTCTATTGTTCTTTCCTTACATATTCATAACAACTGTGATAATTTTTTAATGTAATCTTTTCATAATATGCACATGATTATTTCTTTATGTGATACTGACTTTTTATGAATTACATTACTTTACATTTTAAATTGTGATAATTTTAAATGATATCCTTAATCAATGTGATTTTTCTTATAATAAGTGATTTTTTTCTTTTATAAAAGACCTCTCTTTTTCATGCCACTAAATGCTAAGGACCACAATGGAAATAAAAGTTTGCTCCTTGGTTTTGGGAACATGTCATGGTTTACATAATATAGTATTTATTCATTCATTCATTCATTCATTCATTCATTCATTCATTCATTCATTTATTTATTTATTTATTTATTTATTTATTCTTTATTTATTTATTTATTTATTTATTTATTTATTTATTTATTTATTTTTTATTTATTTATTTATTTATATACATATTTATTTATTCATTTATTTGTAATTGTTTTAATCTATATTGTGTTTGTTTATCATGTAACATGTTTACCTTTGTGCCGAAATAAATCTATCTTTCTATCTATATAAGGTCAAATATGAAATATTTATTCAATTTTGTACAAAAGTATTTTTGTTGTTGTTGATTAATCTCCGCTGATGTGTTTGCCTTTGAAATAAGAAAACTTCGAGAGTGGTCCCTGCTCGGCCGTGTTTTCGCTTATTATCATTAATTACAGCAAGTTTCACATTTTAATGCATCAGGATGAGAAAAAAATACTTAAACGAAAGGTTTTATCGAGATGTTGTTGTTGTTGTTTTGTTTTGTTGTTGTTGTTGTTGTTGTTGTTTTGTTTTTCTCGATATGAGTACTCGTAAAAGGGAACTGATGAACGCGCAATCGCACTAGAAGTATAAAGTGTTATTACATGCTTATCGGTGGTTTATAGAAACATATCAGTGAAATAAAAACTGATATTTCAATGTTTGAAACAGTCAAATTATCAATTTGATATTTTTCACTGTTTTGAATTTAAGTCCGTTAAGTTGTATCAGTGAAATACCAGCGCACAGTACTGGAAACCAACTTAATGACGTGATGTCGTAAATGACGTCACGTTGTATTATTATTTGGCGCGCTTGTCATTTAGTATTAGGTTAAAATGCCTTGCTAAACGTTTCTTTGCATATAATTAAAAGAAAAATTGTTAAGTTTTGTGTAAGATCGAAATATATTTCATTTCGTGAACAACAAAAGTCCATATAACCTTCCAATATACCTTTTGGTGCTCACTTGTTAAAAATATCTTACACTGAACTTAACAAATATCTTCTTTATAATATATGATAATATAATTATATCCTCCCTTTTAAATACTGAATTAAAAATAAAAACAACAAGAAGTAGCTGGTTTAGGCATTTTTTATGTTTTACCAGATCAAAATGATAAGTCAATTAATTTGTAAAAATAGAATGACATCAAAAGTAAATTTAAATTTCAATCGCTTGATATATTACATGAGATTAAGCAATAAAAATAATTTTAATGTGTATTTGATCTACCGGTTATGCCATGCAAGTTCTAAAACTTATTACGGTATAAAAAAATTTGATAAAAGAGAAAAAAATAATGAAAAATTGATTTTGTCTTATAAAGATTTCACATCAAAGCGGTCGAGTGCATGGTTGTTTGCTTATGATATTGTAAATCAGAGAAAAAATACATTTAAGTAAATACATCTTTTTGTTTGTTTGTTTGTTTTGTAAGCAACAATCAATAAAGAGCCTTAACTCCGCCAAAATGTTTGGATCAAGAAATACTAACAATATTTGCAAGGGCACTTAATGACAAAGCTTCTGTGTAAGCTAGCCAATATCACTTGAGAAATGTAGGAGGAATCGGAAACAAAAGTGTATTTCTCTGTTTAAAAAAAGAATGTTTGACTGGCAAAGACAATATTCTCCAAGTCACTTGATGACCATCTTTTGTAACAGTTTGGTCCAAATCCCCTAAGAAATGTAGAATTTGCCTACAGAACAGTATTCCTCTGTGTATTATATAATATCAAAAAGGCGCCGTTATTCCGCCATAAATGTTTGAATTGCACAACAACGACATCATTCCTATAAAAGTGTATGATGATAATCATATACATTATGTATTACCTATTCAGTCTCGTATACGTATAATATGCTTTATTATTATTATTATTATTTTTATTATTATTATTATTATTATTATTATTATTATCATTATTATTATTATTATTATTATTATTATTTTCATTATTATTATTATTATTATTATTATAATTATCATTATTATTATTATTATTATTATTATTATTATTATCATTGTATTTTTATCACATGTCTGACATTCCGAATCTAATTAAAAATAACCATTAGCATCCAGTTACAATTGCATAGGAAACATCGTCAACAGGTATACAATTTGTACTTTCAGTTTCTAATACATAATAATTAATACATTCAAATTGTCCTTCTTACTTTTATATCTATAAATCTTGTTAATTTCAGTTGACTTTAACACGATTTTATTGATTAAACTATGCCAACAAACCCCGACATTTACCTAATGTTTTTAGCTCTGTTGAGCACAAAGTGCTCAGGGGTGTGCTTTTGTAATGGCAGTGTGTCGTCGTTCGTAGTTGTCCACAATTTCTTCAAATAACATCTTCTCCTTAACCACATGATTGATTTTGACCATAATCTTTCTAACAAATTGAATGTAACTCTTGTTTATTTTATATGACGACAATTTTGGCATCGATCAGTAGGCAGACAGCATAGCTGAATATAGGTACTCAATGCCCTTCTACGAATCACGACAGAAAGACAAACATTTTGTCATCAAAAGCTTCTCTACTTGTTACACCGACGTGGGTTTACATGTCTTTCACTAACGGGACTTGGCAGTTAATCTAACACCTAACAACAACTCCTAGAATTCTGGGGGTGATTCCCTGAATAACATACAACCGAACCAAAGGGCATCGAAAAGGAATATTATGAAACATTAATATTTGGTGACTCTATTAACTGGAGTTGATGAAAATCTGAATCGTCTAAATTGTGTGCTAAATGTATTGAGAGTGTTGATAAGTGCTGTTTATATCAATCTTATCACGTTCCCTGTTGTACTGTATGCGTCGAAGGAACCAGTTAACTTTTATTATAAGATAAGCGTTAACATTAAAGGGATACTCAGGCAAATTAATGACAAAAATATAAAAATAATCTTATGTACTCAAATCACGCTAAAATGATATTAAGTCCCAACTTGAATTTCTGTATGAATTCTATATATTTTGGGTTTGAAGCGTAAATATATCAATACATGTTGAACGAAATTTAGACGCCGACAAAATCACGAGTAGTTTGAAAACAATTCATGTGACTTGAACAAACCCTGGAAGTTACAACAACAGATATTTAGGGTATTGTATGATTGAAAAAAGTCTAAGTCATTCATTTGACATGTTCTATAACGTTTCCAGACTTTACTTTGACAACTGTTGTGAAATATTAACGCTCTAACCTGACCCACGTGGGTCAAGTTAGAAAACCACCATTTAATTTCTATAAGGAGAAAGGTTTGTTTCTTCGACTGCCTAGTGTATTTGCTTTTGGGGACATTTACAGAATAATGAATGTAAGTTACCAAAACGAAGAAATGAAAATTTTGCCTATGTCTCCCTTTGACATATTTCAGTCCATTGTCAATGGGCACACTGGTCAAGCTAGACTTCATGTGAAGTCACGTGTGGAAAAGGAACTCATTGACGTTTGAGAACTTGAGAATCCATTTCCAGCAAAAATTGGACACGATGTTGCTGGGAAAAATTCACAAACTGCCGAACGCTTAAAAGAAAACTGCCTAGACAACTGCCCAGATCAAATGAAAAAGGGAATAAATAAAAGAACTTCAAAATCAACCTTAGAATAATTCTAAAAGAATGATATATATTTGAAATAATCCTAGATATTGTTTTTTTTTATTTTTAATGTAATACATATTTCTCTCAAATATTTATACAAAATTTAATTATTAATGCCTTTCTGTTTTGTAACAAATCATATTAAATCATAGTCTGTGTCTCTGAAACCTCACATATTGAATAAGTAATTGTGTTCCTTAACATTAAACTTACATAAACGTAGGAAGATGTTTGAGAAAATGAATTCTAATATGTTTCGTTAAGTTCTGTTTAATTATAACGCATTTTTGAAAATATCTTGTAATGTTGTGGATGGGTTTTACGTCGCACCAACACATGTCTCAAAGGTCATATGGCGACTTGCCAGCTTTACTAGTGGAGGATTCAGAATGAATATTTAAATATTTGAAATTATAAACACAAGTGATCGGGCAGCATCAAGACTGACTTTAATATCTTACTGCTTTCATAAACCTATAGTTACTTACTTTAAAGAAATTGAAAAGGTTAAACAGAATCGACAAAATAATGTAAGTCGAAATAACTATCTCACATGAACATTGTTTTCTATATACAGTTGATGGTCAGTGGTCATTTTTGGTCAAGTTGGACCCAATGTGACGTCACGTGTGGTAAGGGAAGGCAATTACGAACAAGAAGATGTACAAATCCAATGTTCGCGAATAAAGGAAGGGATTGTATTTCACCATTCATGTCTGCATATCTGTGAAAACCAACAGCAACATCAATGGAATTTCGATACTGACCTTTTCCAGTACAATTTACCAGTATGGCGATGACTTTAATACCTAAACAGGAACTTAAACCTGTAAAAAACCCGGAGCATACTATTTTTTGCAACATTGGTAAAGAAACGATCATTTTGAAGGATTGATCTTGTTTTCTTGTTCCCTTTACAAGAATAGACAGGATCTGATAAGCATACCAGATGATCCAACCGACGATGATGCTGACAAAGGAAATGCTGCTATCTCTCAGTCTATCCAGATAAATCTTGATGTTAGGGACACTGTGTACCTTTCTGGGTGCAGCAATCCAAGTACGCACGTGGAATATTGGTCTTCTATAACCGGATTCCTACTATATCAATACAATTAACTTGTTAAGAACTTTTAAAAATATTAATTTCAACTAAGCATCGCAACTAATTTCGACCAGGGTTTTTCTATGACGTAGTTAGCAAATCGTTCATATCTGAAATATTTGGTGCGCTAAAAACGGTTACAATTATCATTAAATTTTATGATTATCTTTTCTTTAATTACTGCCCATTTGCAGAGATAAAACAAGTCAAACCGTTTATCTTATGTCTTTCTTGTAACACAATGATTAATGAATCTATATTTACAAGCATATGTGTAAATAAATTCCCGTTACCATACAGCAAAACATTTTGAAGATACATGTAGTTGCAAAGACAAGTATTTACATAGTGTCCAGATAATTTCGCGTTGCACTTAGAAGGATATACAACTAAGTTATGAAATTTACGAAACGTCTGTGATTTTTCTCAGGTATTCGCTCGTGCCAAAAATAATGTCGCTATTAAAGCGTTTTCGCTCTCCCCCAAAAGTAATTCCACTTTGTGATTGAAAATTTTGAAAATAGATATGTTTAATATGTATATATGCGTATCACACATAAGACGTAAAAGGCAAACGATATCTTAAGTGTTATACCAAAAACATGATTCATAATTCTGACAGGATATACAACAGTGACGTTCATTTCCCCATTTCCCCTATTAATGTGAATGTAACTGACAGCAGCAGTGGCACACGTATTTAATATATTCGTACAAAAAGTGATAACACTTTAAATTTACATTACTAGGTCTATCAATTTAAACAATACATTTCCAATTAAAAAGCACATTTTTCATCTCCTAAATATAGCACGTCGTACTTATATAAGGCGTCGTGAATAACATAGAAATTCAATAACATAACTTCAAAGTTTGGTGGTTTAAATTTAGCTTCCATTGTTACCTTCAAAGGTGAATTTGAAAACATACATAGTAATTGTTCGTGAGCTTGGAGAAAATATATCTTGATAAAATATATTTGCTTTTGCAGTAGAAATTACCAGTATCATGTTTCGAGAATACCTTCTACTTTCCTTTTTGTTACTGAATGAAGTAAAGAACTTTCAAAGTGATACATTGTATAACTTAATATTTCATTTTAACACTTTGATTTATCTTTTTAAACCGTGACATAGATCGCTTAACTATTTTAAAAGCAATGTAGTTGTTGATAACTGAAAATGTAATGTAAGATCTTTTCAAAATGCATGAAGATGAATAAAGCCGTCGACACTTCTTGTGAAAGAGTTAAATTCATTACTGTATTTTGTTAGTATTTTATCAACTGGTTAGTTCTTTGACATTTAGATTCATGTTTATAAGGCCAATAAATCATCAAAAATGCTATCTTTCGTTTCAAAAGCTTTTTATATTTGTTATCCTGCACAAATTTCATTAAAATTACTCCTTGACTATTTACCTGAGCCAGTGTTTGATTCTTTGGCCATTACTATAATTGGAATGATTTTACGTTTTCTATGGAAGCCGGAATACCATTTTGTTTATATTTGTTCCATAATTAGAAAACAGTTCACATTCAGTGCTATTGTCTACTACTTGTAAGCCATTCACATGTTCTAAATTTATTCATACAGCATTATAAAACACATTTTGTTCCTTACTATTGTTAATGTGCATTTAAAGCAGTGCAAAAAAATCAAATTACAAGCCATCAGGAAGTAATAAAAGCTATCTATCTTACGACATATTTCGTAACTAAGCTTTTATCTGTAAGGTTATTTATTTTGTCAAAATTAGATAACAGTTTTAACAGTCGCGGTAGAACGGAAGCGTTATGGCTGTACGTATATTGATTGCAAATCAGCGAAGGTGATATTCAAATCTTATGTTTCAGGAAAATGGATCAGGATGCTATTGAATCTGATATTACTGAACCCAGTTTATGGAAGGATACTGTTGTATATGAAAACACCACAATCGTCTCCAAAAGACAAACCGGATTCAGGACACAAACTGTTGAAGATTCGCCTTATGAAACACTTAAATTAGAAGATTTAGGTAAACCTAAAGTTGATACCGGAATTCAGGAAAATAACTTGAAGCGACTCAAATATGTGATATATACCATGACAGTGCTGATAATTGTTCTTTACATTACACTTATATCTTTAGTTATAATCCTGTTTGTTCCGAAACATTCAGGTAAGTTAGTGTTTTTTGTTGTTTTCCTACAATTTCAATATATGAAATTCAATACAAAAATGTGTATATTAATGATTATATTTTCAAATAAATTTTAAATTTATGTTAGTTAAAAGTGTTCATAGCTTTATACAGTTTAATATCTTAAAATCTATACACATTTTATTCAAAACTCAAGTTGATGGTCATTGGACAGATTGGTCAAGTTGGACATCGTGTGACGTAACATGTGGTAACGGAACGCACATACGGACAAGAACTTGTACAAATCCACTGCCTGCGAATAAGGGAAATGACTGTATTGGAGAAGGTGTTGAGAGCAGTGAGTGCTTAAAAGACAACTGTCCAGGTAATGTGTCTAAAGTGTAATAGAAAATATCTTAATTTCAAGACATAGGAAGATTTTTTTTAATTCACGTTTTTTCTACGGAAAGTTGGAAAAGAAATATAATGATTTACTGTTATTTCATACTTGAACATACGAAATCGCTTGACATAAAATCTTAAACAAATTTTATTCAGACATTTGAGTTAAAAGTTGCAAAAACAGTTCAATCCCTAAACCGTCTACTTTCTTGTGCCCTATCAACATATATCTATATTGTCTCGCTCCTTTAATGCATACCAGTTTTTTTTACGTGTTTTACATAATGGCATATACCGTAATCAAATCAAATTCATATTGCTAAAGGCATTTTCCTAAGCATTATAAAGTCCTAAAATAGCATTTATCTTAAAATGGAATTTATATATGAAAGCATACTCTCCTCCCCATTGGTCAAAAGTTCCACTACCGTTCACTTTCTTGAGTAACGTTGTTTATTCAATTACCTGCATATTAAAAGCATACAATATTTCTAGTCGAAGGTCAATGGACACAGTGGTCAGGCTGGGCTGAATGTGACGTCACGTGTGGCAAAGGAACTCATCAACGTACGAGAACTTGCACAAATCAAGTTGTTCAAACAAATACTGAGATCGAATGTATTGGAGAAACATTACAAACCGCTGAATGCTCAAAAGGCAGTTGTCCAGGTACTTGTATTGCTAGAACAAACTTCTGAAAAACAACAGAGAAAAACCTGAAATAATTTATTTTAAGTTTAACCTATTACAAAGGCATCTATGATTTTTAAACACCAAAGTTTTTATTTTCTTTGAGGAATTTTCAATAGCAAAATGAGTGTTTATTTTTCAACCGTCCTCGAAACGCTCTGTGGCTGCTCAACTCTATCATTTTCAAGACCTACGTGCTCTTTACAAAAGCGTTCGTGCTTCTTAAATACTAAAAGACTGGAAACATAAATTTCGTAACACTACTGCATCTTCTTAAACGTATGTTTAGGTGAATATCAAAGGTTTGAACAAAATCTAGTGTTAGGGCTTATGTTTCTTAAGGAGGATAGGATAGGTTGAGTTACTACTAGTATTGAAATAAGTTATAAAAAGTAAGCTGCATTTCATTCAGTTTGAATCATAAACATATTTGATAATATTTATAAGTTTGATAATCGTGTTGTTAATTTACAGTCGATGGTCGATGGGCACATTGGTCAAACTGGTCTTCATGTGACGTAACATGTGGCAAGGGACAGCAACTACGAATAAGAACATGTACAAATCCAACGCCCGATAATAAAGGAAGGGATTGTTTAGGGGAAAGTTTACAGACTAGTCAATGCTCTATAAGAACCTGTTCAAGTATATTTTTCACATATTGTGTAAATTGTGTAAACTGTGTAAATTTTTGAGAGTTAATAGTTTGATATTCAAGATTTTTGTACTATTTGCTGTAGGTCTAAATGTGTATTAAATTTCAGATCATGTTCTCACTCCGTTGTTTCATAATATTTATAAATTTTTGGGCATGACCTCAAAGTGAACAGCGTTGAAACACTATTAACTCAAATAAAATGGGACAAACACAGTATTTAAGATTTACTTTGGTGTTAAATTAACAGTATGGTTATAAAATTGAATAAAATCAAAAACAATTTCTTGGAGACATATATAGAGGTGAATTCTCTTGTAGTCATATAAATTCGTTTTCTTTTTTCCCTGTCATAACATAAAGGTTGTACTTATTTCTTTCTAGTACCCATGTACCGGGCTAATACGGTGAACTCATATGTGTATCTTGTTACAGTTTCCAAAACATTACTCATTTGCCATATAGATGTACTAACATTTGCTGTTTTTTTGCTTTTTAAGCAATTTAAATGATTATAGTGAAATAGTATGTTGTATAAAAGTCAGAATACTACTTTGTTTATATTTTGCTACCTTTATGAGACATTACTGCACGTTTAAATCTACTATCTCCATTTGTTAATCATTTAAGATGATCTTAACCATAAAAATACGGCTTATTGAGGCATTATGTGCCTTTAATGTTTGAATGTGGTAAAACTTAAAATACTAAGCAATTCTTTTCAGATTTTTGAATAAAATACATGAATATATTACGTTTTAGAACTTTTAAAACTTTAATAAAGTGTTTTATTAATTTCCAGTCGACGGTCGATGGGCACATTGGTCAGGCTGGACTACATGTGACGTTACGTGTGGCAATGGACGGCAACTACGGACAAGAAGATGTACGAATCCAATACCCGAGAATAAAGGGAAGGATTGTATTGGGGAAAGTTTACAGAGTAGTCAATGCTCAAGAGGAAACTGTTCAAGTATATTAATTAGCTTAAATAAAGAACCGTTTTTAAAAGTTAAGGCAGGCAGATAAGCTGACAGTTGCTCGGGTTTGCCTGTTTTTAAATCTGGTGCTAAGGAGGCTCAGAAAATTATCATCCTTATTCTAATTTACCGACACATTGCCTTCCCAATTACACCGTTATTTTGTGCATACAGGTATTATGTTTAACCCTTTCCCCCATGAGCATATTGTGAAAAGGGGCATTTTCACTGAAAAGCCTCCTCTTACAAGTTCAAACTGCTATGAAACTGTGAAAAATGCTTCAATACTAATCAAACTTGGCACAAATGTTGACTGGACCATTGCCTTTGTAACGACATGCTCAGTCTTAAATTTTCTGTTACAATGGCAACGAGGGGACATCTCAAAATTGCCAAAAATCACTATTTTTCCTCGATTTTCTCCATTAAAATTTATTTCAAAGTGCTGCAACTTCTCAAGGGATTGAGATAGAGTCAAAGGCTTTTCAGCGTTGGTTACACGTTACCTTATGATCGACCTGGGGTCATTTTAAGCCACATCCCCCTTCTGGAAAACCCCTGAAGTATCTTTTGGATGGTGGGCAGCGCCGAAAAAGTGCTCACTTTTTTTAAGCAACATTTCTCAAACAGGGCCCAAATAGGACATTTTTTCACTATTTTAGGCCTTAAAAATGGGGGGGGGGGGTCGAAAGTACGTTTTTTCGCGTATATATGGGGTAAAGGGTTAACAAAAAATGATGAAAAACTTTGGAATCACCCAAAATCTAGTTTTTCCATGTTAACATGTGGTCTTTTACCTAATTTCGGTGAAAAATTGTTGTTTTGTAACATTTATAATTTTTTAGTTAACCCTTTCCCCCATGAGTATATTGTGAAAAATGGCCATTTTCACTGAAAAGCCTCCTGTTACAAGTTCAAACTGCTATGAAACTATGATAAATGCTTCAATACTAATCAAACTTGGCATAAATGTTGACTAGACCATTGCCTTTGTAACGACATGCTCAGTCTTAAATTTCCTGTACCATGGCAACGAGGGGACATCTCAAAATTGCCAGAAATCACTATTTTGCCTCGATTTTTTTCCATCAAAAATTATTTCAAAGTGCTGCAACTTCTCAAGGGATTGAGATAGAGTCAAAGGCTTTTCAGCGTTGGTTACACGTTAGCTGATGATCGACTTGGGGTCATTTTAAGCCTGTCACAAGTCCAAAATTTTCTTTGCGATCCCCCTTCTGGCAACCCCCTGATGTATCTTTTGGGTGGGGGGCAGCGCCGAAAAAGTGCTCACTTTTTTAGCGACATTTCTCAAACGAAAAAATGTGTTTTGGGCCCAAATAGGACACTTTTTTCACTATTTCAGGCCTTAAAAAGGGGGGGTCGAAAGTACGTTGTTTCGCGTATATATGAGGTAAAGGGTTAACCAAAAATGATGAAATACTTTGGAATCACCCAAAATCTAGTTTTTCCATGTTAACATGTGGTGTTTTACCTAATTTTGATGAAAAATTGTTGTTTTGTAACATTTATAATATTTTTAGTTAAGCCTTTCCCCCAAGAGCTTATTGTGAAAAATGGCCATTTACACTGAAAAGCCTTCTCTTACAAGTTCAAACTGCTATGAAACTAGAAAAAAATGCTTCAATACTAATCAAACTTGGCACAAATGTTGACTGGACCATTGCCTTTGTAACGACATGCTCAGTCTTAAATTTCCTGTTACCATGGCAACGAGGGGATATCTCAAAATTGCCAAAAAACACTATTTTGCCTCGATTTTTTCCATCAAAATTTATTTCAAAGTGCTGCAACTTTTCAAAGGATTGAGATAGAGTCAAAGGCTTTTCAGCGTTGGTTACACGTTACCTTATGATCGACCTTGGGTCATTTTTAAGCCTCTGACAAGTCCAAAATTTTCTTGGCGATGAGGGGGACTCCGCCGCCCCCCATTCAACCCCGCCCCCCCCCAAAAAAAACAGAAGGGGGCACATCCCCCTTCTGGCAACCCCCTGATGTATCTTTTGGATGGGGGGCAGCGCCCAAAAAGTGCTCACTTTTTTAGCAACATTTCTCAAACGAAAAACATGTGTTTGGGGCCCAAATAGGACATTATTTCAGGCCTTAAAAAGGGGGAGTCGAAAGTGCGTTGTTTCGCGTATATATGAGGTAAAGGGTTAAAGTACTGTCCGTCTTTAGAAAAAGAACATTCGATTATACAGCATTAACAACACTAATCTATGCCTGGTTAACTGTTGTCAACTGCGGACAATTAGTTGGACCAGTATTCCTTGATCTAATCTTATACTTTGTTGACCATGATATACATCTGTATAAATTAAAACGTGTTGTTCCTTTTGAAAAATCTGTACGATATTTTAAGTTGGAAAATCACAATCGGAAATGCTCATATTCAGACCCCATCAATGATACATATAGGGACCTTTATCCTTTTTACTGTATAGTTATAATAAAACGTTTGTCTGTTTATATTTCTGCGGATAACTCTGAAAAAAGTTTTACGATCTGAATTCATTGGAACCTAAAGCAGTTAAGGGCAAGTGATTTGAAATCGACGACATTGACCACTCACCTCCGGAGTCACCTTACTTCATGTATTATATTTATAATGTTTGTATAAGGTTAGTTAGTGTTGTTAAATATGTATGTTTATTAATATATATTTTCAGCATACATGTCTGCATTCTCAGTGAAATCTCCAAAAACCTACAGCTACATCAATGGAATTAACAAACTGACCTTTTCTAATACCATTTACCAGTATGGTAATGATTATAGTATCTCGAAAGGAACTTACACCTGTAGCAAATCCGGTGTTTACCATTTTTCTGTTACATTGGTAAAGAAACGGTCATCATCAAGGGTTGATGCTGTATATTGTTATCTTTTCAAGAATAGACAGAATCTGATAAGAATAAGAGTTGATCCAACTAACGATGATACAGACAAAGGAAGTGCTGCTATATCCCAGTCTATAGTGACTTATCTTAATGTCGGGGACACTGTGTTCCTTTATGGATGCAGTAATCCAAGCACAACCATGGAGGATTGGTCTTCGTTTACTGGATTTCTCCTATATGACAACAATTGAATTTTGTATTTTTCCGGCGAAAATTGCTCTTAACTAAATCTGTAGTTTCGAATAATCTAATTTCCAATACAGTGTTTTGGATAATAATAATAATGTTTGCCTATGGATGTGAAAAAAAATAAATATTTATTGATGACAGTAAAAGCACTTTTGCTAAAAAAGAATTCATCCTGTTATGGAATTAAAGCCACTGATCAGATTTTGTATATCAAGTTGTTTTAACTGAGACATTGATGTTTCTTAACGCATTTATTTAGATTTACAGTGCTTGTAAATAACACTTTTGTCTGAAAGTTTGCTTTTGTTGAATGCAACAGAATCAGGGAGAGGGAATTGTTGTGTTGATTTTATTAATCTAATGAGAATGCATTGTTGACATTAGATTGCCTGATGCTAATTGCTAAATATGTTTCTGACTATGTTATTTAAGGTTATGTCTATTCATGAAATAAATAAATATGAGTACAATACTTGGTATTCAATTACAGAATAAAGTTTTAAGTAGCTAACAAATGAGCAGTTATTATTAAGTTATAAAAATGATAATACATCTAAAGACCGGTGCATGAATTTCCGATTTCATCTTCGTGAATTCACAATTTTAACTCTTCAACATACGGAATTTACGAATTTAACTTCATGAATTCACGGTTTAAACTTCACGAATTCACGAATTCAACTTCATGAGTTCACTGTTTAAACTTCACGAATTCACGAAATCAACTTCATGAATTTATGTTTTCAACTTCCAGTTTTCAATATTTCATCTTCACAAAGATGAAATTGTGAATTCATGAAATTGAAATAGTGAATTCATGGAGTTGAATTCGTGAAGTTTAAATCGTAAATTCATGAAGTTGAAATCTTTAATTCACAAGTTAAACTCGTATTTCTATATGTTGAAATTACGAATTCAGTATGTCGAAATCGCGAATTTATGAAGTTAAAATTATGAACACGAGAAGATGAACCCGAGAACTCAAGACGTGTTTCGTATAATACTGACAAATTTCAGTACTTTTTGCAGCAGTTTCATTTTCAGTAAATAGACATGTTATATATATTTAGTTATCATGAAAGTATTGACACAATGACCTTGACATTGGAGCCACTGACGTATCATGGTTATAGCAGATGTCAAGCAGGATGTCTTCTAAATTGTCGTCTTTCTCATAAACCTTACTGGATTGCACATCCATTATAGCCAATAATGTTTTAAGTTTTAAAAATTAATAATAGATTTGTTTTATCAGACTAAATATTGATCATATATAGATTAAATAATTTCTTTTTTTACAAGCTAATATTCTATTAATACCCATGTGTAATTGTAGAGCATAAGATTGTATATTCACTTTTCGAATGTTTATGGTATCTGATAATTCATTTGAATAGCAGTTTAACGTGCAATCTTTGAACACTAACTCTGAATGTCATTTTACTGACGAAAGTGATGGTTACTCACCTGGCTGTTCAGAAAGTAACTGGATTCTCATCGTCAAGAAGTCCTCGACCTATCAAACCGTTTATTTGTAAATGCTCTTTTATTATTCAGGTCCCAATGTTCTATTCTTATTCAAGCCCCAATGTTCTTTTCTTATCCAAGCCCCATGCTCACCAAGTAGGACCAAACGACCTTAATATATTGAAACTAACGTTGGTCATATCAGGCTTAGAAGGTATGGTACATAAACAGAATGTTGAAATATTTTTATTTGCAAAGAAACAACCTTTTTACGGGTAAATGTTTGTAAGTAAGCGTTAATGAATTTAAATATTTCTGACACAACACAGTCATGTGACATAAATGACGATTTACCTACACTAAACAATTTAGTGGTTGAAATTAACAAAGCTAGAGTAAGACACGCTGATTTAACGATGTAGTATTGAATGACAAGTTGGTGCAGATTTAAAGAATTAAATCACTGTATCGAAGATTATGAAAATAAAAAAAACGATTTGGTTATATGATTTAACACTAAATTTTGGATGAACTTAATGACTGATAAAATATAAACATACACTGCAAAGTACAAAAATAATGGGTTCAAAGATAGGATCAATTTTAGAATAAAATTTCGATCAACTGTTAAATCTTATAAAGTTATGATATTTATTTTTTTTCTAAAACTCCTTAAAATGCTTGTGAGTCCATATTCATTTATCAAATCTATCAGAGTTTAAGTGTTTCCAGTACTATCAACAGTTAGAGTTTGAAATTATTTTTTGTCCAATGAGATGGCAGTATATTTCAAATTTAGAAATAATTTATTTTAATAAATGAGCTTTAAACAGCCAGTGATACTAACCCGATAAATCGAATGAACTGATTAACTGACGTTATTCCGCACGTGTGCCTTGGAGGCAGAGCTACATTCATGGGATAGAACAGATGTGAAGGCAATCCGAATCTTAAGGCAATACGAATCAATAACGAATTTTTCCTTTAAATTATTTTAAAATGAACAAAAATTAATTGGAACCGGTAATTTCTTAAATCTAACACTTTTTCTTTATATTTATAAATAAACAATCAAAGTTGCAGGCGTTTACATTAATAGAACGTATACTTGATTTGGACTATTTACAGACGATTTCGCGCACCTGTAAATATATTGGCTTTCCGAATTATAAATAATCATTTTGTATTCCACAGGATGGGTGCGAAAAAGGCAGTTTGCAAAATGTAACCTTATCATATATATACACCTGGAGAAATTTACTGTTGCGAATATTTCTGTTAAGTGTTATTTCTCATTTAATCTTAAACACTCCCCAAACAAAAAAAAGATAGGAATGAATCAGTATAATAAATGATAAACAAATTTACCATTTATTCCCAATTTATTATAGATGGAAATGACATGCAAATGAGCCAATGCATTATGAATAAATTGTTAATAAATCAGTGAAATGAATTGGTAATGAATTGGTCCATTTACCAACTTATTATTAAAATTGTTAATAAATCAGGTTAACAAATGGGTAATGAATTTGGTCCTTTTCTTGACTTAGTCAATGAATTATAAGACAAATCAGGTTAATCAATTGGCAATAAATTTAGGTTTCGCTGACGCAACTGATTCATTAATGAATTGCAAATAAATTGTTAATGAATCACTAATAAATTGTATTTTTTCTTCATCCATAAACCGAAATTCAATGTATTAATGAATCATTAACAAATCAGGCTTGCCTGCTTTTATTCATCTAATGGATTTTGAATAAATGCAGGTTCCAATGATGGTGTCAATTCGGAGAAAAAATATGAAAATAATAATAATGATAATAATAATAATAATAACATATCTTGATAAATTTTTATTTATTTTTCTTTTTTATTTTTTACAAACAAAAGCTGACTAGATTACTCAAGAACATACAACAAGATTAAAATTTGTGAAAAAATCTATGCCACCACATCATAACATTGAAAACTCATAATGTACGTGAATAGCTCATTTCATAAAATATCCCTGCAAATAAAACAGGTAATGTCAGATAAACAAGTAAAGGGGGAATAATTCTGGAATATAGTCGTGCTTTGCTGTTAGGAATATATTTCTAGTTTTAGAAACTAGGGCTTTATGTCAGTCTGAAAAAACATTCTGCCTTCCTTTTAAATGTCTGTCTGGGGCTACACCTTTTTTATTCCTATATAATCATTAAATGTTGAATCTCTCTATACTGAGGCAATGAATGGCATACTCTGAAATAGAAAATAAAATTCTCATTAAAAGTATCATATTTATAATAAAATATCAAAATTTAACCCTTAGACTTCTGACATATCACTCTGAAAAAAAAAGTATAATATATTTTTGTTCGTATTTGCAATACAATCTGAATTTGAATTTCAACTCGAGCCAAATACACTAAAGGACTCAACCACTTTGGACTGTTCATGTTCTATTGAATAAAAACTAGCAAGTATATTTCACAAAGTTTCCTGAATAATAGATAAATATTTTGTTGATAAAACAAACGGGTGAAATGTTCGAAATTTCATTTTCAACAGAGGAATGAACAAATAATTTTGTTAGCAAGTCCAGTTTTTTACACAATTTTTGCTTCAATTTGAAAATTTTAAAACGAAATTGAAAGGCTATGACATTGAATACTATATGTACATGAACAAAAATTAGATTGAAAAGTATTATTTTTTATCATTTACTAGTTACTTGATATCTAAAAAGCACATTGTCGTTTTTTAAACTGATTAATATATATGTAGCCCTAATACTTACGCTTCAAAGACTCATATATGTCATTTCCCTTGGAATGCCTCGTCCCATAACTTAAATAGCAAACTCTTCACGATCAAAGAAGCCGTCCATCTGCATTTTATTATCTCCCGTTTATCTGGCTTTTTACCATCTCAATCAGAGTTGCTGAATTTTACGTTCTGTCCTTTCTTGGGTGCTCTTTTCAGTTTTCTGCGCGAGATAACTAAGTAAATGAAGTCACTTAAAATAAAAAAGGAAGCATCATTTTTTCACCGCAATTCAAATGTGCAGATGAGCTCAGTGGTGAAACAATGCAGATTTATGTTTTTAAAATGGGCTGTACATAGATTTCCCCATAAACAATGCATGTACATGCGTGCATATTTTAAAACTTGTATCTTGTATCATAAATAGTTTTCAATCCAAATCAAATGAATCAAAAATGTTTAATTAAGGTGGTGCCATTAGGGGGGGACGAATCATCACTAAAATGGGGCGAGTCGTTATGGGGCGAATCGATCGTTATCCTAATCTGCACATTACTCCAGTAAATTTTATTTTTTGCCAACTTACATATGATCTACATCTATAGAAGGTTATTAAAAACGCTCTGTAGAACGAAAAGAAAATTTTGAACTTACCGTCTATCAGTATACCATCTATCAGTAGTCTAGATGCCTTGATATTGTTTTTATCCATATTTTTGTGTAACACCACAAGTTTTCATCTTCCAAAATAACCGCCTTTTTCCTATGCATAGAATTAATGCAAACGAAATGTTATTCCTAGCTACTAAAGTATTGTATGAAGTTCTTAATTTTTGCAGCTGCAATGACAAAATCTGTTGTAAATTAGTTTGTTTGCTGAGCATTAGTTATATCCAAAAGAAAGAACACTGTTTGTATGGTAAGATATCTTTTTTTTCCGAAATGGCAAAAAAAATTTCGTTTCCTATTTAAAAACTTGGGGGTTTTTGTCGGGGTGATTAGGGGGCGGCCCCCGGTAGGCTGCAGTTCCCCCCCAAGATCTTTTTGTTTAAATTTTGCAGGGCTGGGAGAAAATGGCCCGTTCCAAAAACAAAAAACTTTAAAAACAGCCCGTTAAGTTCGGAGAAAATTAAAA